GGGGGGGGACCCATCCCTGGAACCTGCAGAGGGGAAAAGAAGGGACTCCATCCCTGGAACCTGCAGGGGGGGAGGGAACCCTCCCTGGAACCTGCAGTCGGGGCAGGAGGGACTCCCATAACTGACTGTCTGACCTCCACATGCAGTCTCTGTGCTCTAGGCATGCCTGCACATACTCACATACATGCTAATAATAAATAGAGCAAAAGTTAAGAAAAGTCAAAGTAGAAGGTGCTTTTTTTTTATTATTTAAAGAAAGTGCTTTGAAATATATTTACAGTTATCAATGGCCTCCAGATATTACTAGTAGTAATGAATTGTTTTATACAGGAGAAATACTTTAAGAAAGAGAGCATTTTATTACTGAGTTTATGACAGTGACTAGAAGGTAGTGAAATGGGGCTGGAGAGATGGCTCGGTGGTTTAGGGCACTGGTTGCCCTCCACTGGTATCAGGGTTTGATTCCCAGCACCCACATTATTTCAGGGGATCCTCATCTGGCCTCCCAGGACACCAAATGCACAGTTAGTACGCAACCATGTAGACAAAACACTCCGTAGACATAAAAAAATAAAAAGTTTTAGGAAAAGAAGATAGTGAACCGCTGACGTCATGACGTGGTAATTCAGCCCGTTTTTAACTGTTAGGGACCGTGCAGAGACAGCACAGTGGGTCTGCTGCAGATCGAAAGGACCCTCGCTGCCCTGTGTGCAGGAGGTGCCCCACGACCGGCCTGGAAAGGCCTTAGGCCACAAACATTCAGACTCTCCACTTCTGCACAATTCAGTTACAGATCAGTATTTAAGGTACTGGGACCCTGAGGCATGGTAACACCAAAGTCAGGATTCCCACCAAGCCTCGGTACTGGAGTTTGATTCCTGGGACCCACATGGTGGAAGGAAATGACCAGTTTCCACAAGTTGTCCTCTTACCAAGGAATGCTGTGGTGTTCTTGTTCTCTCTCTCTCTCTCTCTCTCTCTCTCTCTCTCTCTCTCTCTCTCTCTCTCTCTGTGTGTGTGTGTGTGTCTCTGTCTCTGTCTCTCTCTCTCTCTCTCACACACACACACACACACACACACACACACACACACACATTTTATGTGTTTTTATAAACACTGTTTCTCTTTAGGTGCATCTATTGAATTGACCTCCACATTCCTGGCTCCTGTTGGTGGGAGAGCTGGGGATTAGGTTGGGGGGGGGGGCTGCACTCATGTGCAGACTGGATAAAGAGGTGAACAAGAAAGTTGAACTTGAACCACCAAATCATTTCATGATGGGATTAGCTGGATTTCTAGCAGAAAACTTAATTTTGCCCTGGAAAAAGCAAAGCCCGAGTTGTTGGGACTCTTAGCATCTGCTCACAACACAGCTCCCGTAATGTGGCCAGGGAGTGCAGGGGGGGATTAGGACTTCCTCAACAGGAAGTGAAAGAAGATCAGGGAAATGGAAGCCCAGCTTCTCTGAGGCTGGGTAGGTCTAATTGAGACATCTTTGCTGTTTCCCCTACTCTGCTGAGACCCTGAGGTCACCGAGAGCCTGGACCTGATTCAAACCTTTCAGAGGAGTAGGCAGGCTCTCTTCACCTCCTCCATGGCCCCCTCCAGTGCAAAAGATAACATCTGGGGACAGTAGTTCAGTGGTGAGTGCCTCTGATGTACACGAGGTCCTAGGTCGGTCCCTAGTACTGTCAAAATAAAGAAAGGAAGAAAGACAAAATACGCTTTCAAAGGCTGGGGGTGTGACTTGGGTAGATGTGACCCACTTAGCAGGCACAAAGTCCTGGGTTCAGTCCTCAGCACTCAAGGAAAACAGAACAACAACCGGCCACCACACTTCACACTTTTAGATGATTGAGGTCAGTCATCCACAACTTGACTGATTTAATTACATTCTTGTCTCCTTAGGTTCGACAACCTCATCTTCCACTATTCATAACGAAGCCGAGCTTGGCGATGATGACGTTTTTACGGTAAGTTTCCTTTGTCCTTTACTCCCCATAGTAGATGAGTATCGGAGAAGTTGCCCGTTCAGGACAATGTGGCATTGAAGTTGCCTTGCGGCTGCTGTTAGAGAAGACTCAGTCCTCCCAGTGTTTCACGTTCTGGTCTTGACCTCCTTGCTCAGACTTGCAGTGATGCGGCCCACACTCCCACACCATCAAAGTTCAGCTCCTAAGAGCTACAGGCACATTCAGGGGTCAGCTGCTCTGGTTTGCCCAGGACAGTCCCAGGCAGACCAGGACCGTGGGCCCTCCTCCTCACAATCTTCTGCGAACACACTGGTGCCAAAGGAATAAGGCCACCACCACCACCCCCCACTCCCCACCCTCCCCTACCCCCCACTCTCGTCCACCATGCTTGGAGTCGTGGTGAGTGGATGTCAAGCGGCATTTGAAGCTGAGCACCTTGACCCACAATGGAAAAGGGCATTATTGTGACCCAGCAGGCATATACACGTCAGTGGACGCCTAAAAGCTAACCTTCATACTGTACTTTGGTTTTGTCTGATTCCGTTCCTGTTTTTTTGTTTTTTAATGGAAAACGTAAAGAATTGTCATGGCGACTGTTTGTATACAGCACCCAGACTCGGTAGACTTGCTAGTTATGTTCCTGTGACTCCCCTAAAGTGTCCTAACAAACGAGACTTGAGGAAGACAGGGTTCTTCTGGCTCACGGTGCGTGGTTGTTACAGGCCATCGTGGCCGGGGTAGTCATTACAGCAGGAGCTTGAGACAGCAGATCACGCTGTATCTGCAACCAACCATGAATGCCGCTGCTCCCTAGACATCGCTGTCATCCTGTTACTCAGTGTGAGTGCAGGACCCCAGCCAGGAAATGGCGCTGCCCACACTCGGGTGGATCTCCCCTTTCTCATTAGCTTCATCAGGATAAAGCTTCACAGGCACAGCCAGAGGATAACCGAGTCTAAGTACTAGTAGGTACAGTTAGTCTCTGATTAGAGCCTGTCAGGTTGACAGTCAATACTTTTACCTTTGTATTTATTGTTATTGTGTTTGTGTCTGCGTATGACGTGGCGGGGGGCGTGTGTGCCATGGTGTTCTACGTGGTATCTGTTCTCTCCCACGACCTTTACGTGGGCTCTGAGGGATCAAACCTGGGTCTCCAGGCTTGCATGGCAAGCACTTCTGGAAGACAGTTGTCTCACGGGCCAACAATGAGTTGTCCATAAGAGTGCCAGTGTGTCTTAATACACATACAGAGAGAGAGTTTTGTTTTTTTTGTTTTTTTTTTTTTTAACTAATCCAGTTCAGTGTAAATTCCTCTAATTTTCTTCTTTATTGCTTGGTTGATTTTTGTGTATATATGCTTGTGTGTATGTGTGCCCATGCATGTACACTACTTGTAATTGGTGCCCGTGGATGCCAGGAAGGGGGATCCTATCACCTGGAGCTGTAGTTAAAGCGGTTGTGAGCCACCCAGCGTGGATGCTGGGACCCACACTCACTTCCTCTGGAAGAGCAGCAAGTGCTCTTACCCACTGACCCATCCCACCAGCCCATCTCTTAATGTCTTTAGCATGCATCCCCATAAAGAGCAATCACAGAGGACTTTTAGGGTGGCTGATCTGTTCTGATGCTCTGATAGTAGACACATGTCATTGTACAGCTGTCCCAACCCATAGGATCTGTAACCAAAACATAGGGAAAGCTGAGAGTCCGGATCATTTGTGGGTTGTAGTTGGGTTTTTGTTTTGTTTTGAAAAAGGATTTCACTGGGTAGCCCTGACTGACCTGGAAGTTGCTTTGTAGACTAGGCTAGCCTTGAACTCACAGATTCGTCTGTCTCTGCCTCCCTAGTGCTGAGATTAATTGAGGGCACCAGCACACCTGGGCAGTTCATTGATTTTTAACAAATACATAGTATGGTGGGCGGGCAGCATTGCTAATAGGAGAGCTGCATGGTTTGAGGCAAAGAATGTACAGGGAATCTCAGTACCTTTAGCTCAGTTTTGTTTGTAAACCTAAAATAAAATAGGAAATAAAGTTGAATGAAGGGATTTAACTATAACGAGGCCTCTTCTACATAAAGCACTAAAATTTCAGAACGTTGTCTAATATCTCCTTAATAATTACCAGTTGCCCCCAAGGCTGCCTTTTGTAAGCTGTTGTTTATTTGTTTCAGTCTCACATTTTAAAACATGGGGAGTAATTGATTAAATTCGTTTCTCTGCACTTACGATTTGTGGCCATTGGTGTGAAAGACACTGCTTTGGGACTATCCAGGTGTGTAAGCCAAGGCACCAACAGTCACAGAACCAATGGTAGGGCTTGCAGAAATGAGTGTGACCCACAGGAAGCCTGAGAACGGGCAGACGGCAGACGGTGGAAGGTGGTCCCGTCTGCATGTAAGGCAGGGGTCAGGGGTCGGAAAACACTTCACTGGGAGGGGTGCCTTCCCTGGCTTCTGCACAGCATTTTGGAAAGGGATCTAGTCTAGGGAGCTCTGGGGCGAAGCCTGCCGGAGGAGCGGAGTCTGTGGGGTGTCGTGGTCCGGACGTCACAGAAACTCCGTGTAGTGGGACCGTCAGGAATGACGCAGTCGGTCTTCCTTGGAGCGGCTGGTAGACTGGCCGAACAGGCAGATCCTCTCAGCAGTTGGCATGTGCTCACATCTGTGCTTTTGTCACGTTTGGGGAGACAGACAACAGCAGGGAGGTTAAAGGTGGCTTCCTGTGAGCCGGAGCAGAATCGTAATTCGCAGCTGCTTCCCAGCTACCTGCCAGAAGTGATTTATAGACCGGGGAGGCGGGGTGAGAAGGGACCGGGTGATGGAAACCTGAATCCTCTCGGTTTGGTTTCGTCCCGTCCCGTAAGCCTCCCTCTGGGAACGGCTGACACTGGGTTAAAGGTGCCCTCGACAGACTGCATTCCGTGTAGACCTGGCATAGAGGGTCACTTGCCTGTTTACAAACACGGGCCTATTTATAACAGAACCTCCCTTCCCCAGGAAAGGCCCATATTAATTCCCAGGCTGTTGGCTGTGGGAAAATGGGGGGCGGGGGGGGGCAGACATGCCACATTCCTGTTCATTGACCAGTGCACTGTAGCTAGACATTCTGTCCCAAGGCAGTAAAGGAGTGTGAGCCAAGGAAGCGGGCGGCCACTTCACAGCCTGAGCCCCACACTTCCCAAGTGGGTAAAATGCTCTCAAGCTGGGTTCGGAAGACAAATGTTTAGGACTTGGAATTCCTGTCAGAAAGGGTGTGAACGCTGCTGAGCGCCCCCCTCTTCTGGTTCTTGAGAATTACAGCTGTTTTCAGAGGTTACCGCTTGCATTCGGAGCCCTCAGAGTTGTGACCGGAGATGTCAGGCGTGTGCGTTTTCTGTCTCTGCCGTTGGAGCCAGAGGTTTCCCTAGTTCTCGGGATTCCTTGGGATTTGGGGGACACGGGGTGCTTGAGAGCCACCCGCACATGGCTGAACTTCGCCCTGGGGACACCGAGGGTTCACATGTGGCAGCTTAGTCCCCAGTGTGACGGTGTTGGTAGTTGGTGGAGTCTTTCAGAAACGGGGCCTGCGAGGAGGAGGGGTTAGGTCCCCGAGGACGCTCCCCCCAGAGGAGAGTAACGCCGTTCTGTGGAGTGCTCCTGTGACCTTGTGGGCTCACAGAGCAGTGGCTGCCGCTGCCCTGACACTTTTCAAACGGTCACAGTGGTCCCTTGGAATCAGCTTGTCCTAGTCACTTCTCCAAATGAGAAACGGCACTGTCTTCCTGTGGGAAGGTCACTGTCTACATTCTTGTCATCTGCCAACGTTGTTGTCCGCTCTCCCTGTCCCCCACTCCTCCCAAGCCTGTCCCCTCCATTTCGTTACCCAAACCTGTGTCTGTCCACGTCTCTCCTGTCAGGGGCCCCACCAGAAATTCTTAAATAGCTACTGCTCTGTATGAGTTTTTGTTATTTATTCTAATTCTTGGGTTGTTTTTTACTGTGGTGGGGGGTGTGGTGTGGTGTGTTGTTTGAGACAAGGTCTCACTCAGCGAAACTATACAGATGTGTTAGCCAAGGTGCCCGTGATCACAGTAGCAGTTGATTGAATCCATAAATGTAGAACCTGTGCCTGTGCCTTCAGGGGGTCCACTGTGTGGCCCCTGTTTTAGTTTGGGTTTTATTGCTGTGAAGAGACACCATGACCAGGTCAATTCTTATACAGGAAAACATTTAATTGGGGCTGGCTTCTAGGTTCAAAGGTTTAGTCCACAGTCAGCATGGTGGGAAGCATGGCAGTGTGCAGGCCGACATGGCAGTGAAGAAGCCAGTTCTGTGTCTGGATTGGCGGGCAGCAGGAAAAGAGGTAACACTGGACCTGGCTTGAGCATCTGAAACCCCAACAAGGCCAAACCTCCCAATGGTGCCAATCGCTGTGGGCCTATGGGGACCATTTTCATTCACACCACCACAGCCACCAAATAAATAATAGCACATTAAAAGTAGATGAGTGAGCCCAGTATGGTGGCGCACGCCTTTAATCCCAGTACTCAGGAGGCAGAGGCAGTCAGATCTCGAGTTTGAGGCCAGCCTGGTCTACAGAGCAAGTTTCAGGACAGCCAGGGCTACACAAAGAAACCCTGTCTGGGGGTGGGGATGGATAGATAAGTGATAGGCACTAACTCAGAGATGTGTAGAGCTCTAGGCATGCCTCTGCCTCAGCCAGATCTTGATTGCAGAGGATGGTGAATTCATCTGCTCTAGCCACCTTGTTTCTGGGAAATAAAGTAATTGTGTATGATTTTACAGATAGGAGGATCCGGGGTTCAGATGGGTAGTTTACATAAGGCCACACAGCTGGTTCATGGTGGACGAGCAACCAGTACTAACTAGCAACCCCCTCCAGTCGCTAGTGCTGTTCTCTTCCTTGATTGAATAATTAAGTTTATTTTGTTATTGTTGTTGTTACTGTTTTGTTTGAGATAAGGTTTCTCTTTGTAGGGCTGGCTATCAATATGTACAC